AATCCTACCTTTGAAAAAGTCAATGATCAACATAACCAAATGTTTTCAGAGAGCAGGATACTGGCCATTCTTTATAGCTAAACACATGGGTAAAACACAAAAATGACAGCGGATGTTTATGGAAACATAATTTATGGCAACAATGCAAAAGGAAATAACAGAGACATTCTCTTCCACCTAGGACTGCTGTCATTCTGAATTCATACTGCTTTCTTCATGTTTTGCTCCATCTGTGCTTTTGTGTCTGTAAACACTTTTCAAAAGCTTTCACTTTGTCTACACAGGTGCCTAAATTTAAGTATGTCAAACAACTTCATAGAATAAACAGCTGAGGTAAGATCCCTTTGCTGCAGTTTTTTTGTGATTCCTGGGGAGTCCACCACCCCTCCAAGAGTTCACAAGCACAAAGGTATCACCTCTGCCTCTGGAAGTCCCTAACCTGAAGTTTCACTGGGTTTATCCTAGATCATCCTGCTGCCCCACTTTCATAAGTTTAGATATCTCCAGTGGCTTCCACATGACTCTCTGGACTTCAATAATATTTCCTGGCTAACTTTTTCTTCTGACAGGTCAAGAAAGCTTCACTCTCAGACTGTCTTTAGTTTTGCTGACAGGCAGGAAGCTAACTTCCTTTGAGCTATAGAATAAGCAGCACATATTTTTTAAGAAGGACCAACTTGGTATTACTGTGTTTCAAGGCTGCAATAAACACCTCAGACTCCCTATGTATTCCTGAGGCTCAGGCATGATGGCAAGAACCAAAGCCTCCTTTCAGTACTGGCTAAATTCCCACTGGGTTCATTCCTAATTGAGACCACACTTATACAGACTGACAGAAAGTTTCTCAGAGCAATGAATGTAAAATTCTGCTCCTGTATCTCAAGGGTGCTGTTTTACATAAATATGCGTATGTATTTGCATACATGTTCCTCTTCCTGCAGAGATGGGTGGGTCACACTGCAAATAGTGCTGAAATACAAGCCCACTTGAACTGTTGGCAAGCACTGGAGTTACAGAAAAAAATTACGTGCGGCTATTTCATAAGCATTTACCCAGCAGAAAAATATATATTTTTGGATATGTATATTTTTTCCTGTGAAATACAGAAAATAGTCAATACAAGAGGGCATTCAAGGATGTCACAAGACGGCTGCACATGCCAGAAAAACAGTAGCAACTACAAACCAAGGATGCTCCAAGCGATGATAATTTGTGACCCAGAGCCAGTGCACACTGGGACAGATGAAAACAGCTTGCTCCAAAGCTGCTATTGGGGATCTGACATGTTTATCTATTTGGCCCACATGGGGCTGTGTCTTCTAGCACTGACAGCTCCTGCAGGCTGGCAGCTTTTCAAAAGCTTGTCAGGCCTTGATAGCATTCCTATTCCCGCGGAGCTGGGCGGGTCGCGCTGCGGATCGCACCGTGATAATCGCGCTGACATGTAACCCTGTGTGCACTGTTAGCACAGTCACAGAGAGGGGCACCCCTGCTCTGCAGCTATTTACCCACTGTTTACCCAGCTGACAACATGCTGTATTTCCTATTTATTTAGCTTAGGGAGTAAAATAGAAAAGGCTTTAAGCAAACTCACGAGAAAATTCAACGTACTTAAGTAATGTTTCCAGCAGGATCCCAGAGCCTGGTGTTCGTACAGAATTTCTTCTCCAGCTTTCCAGCCTCTCATGCTGTTAAACATCCTTTTGTTTTACACAGCACTTCTGATGGTAATGGCACAGAGGCCTTCAGCAGAACTGTGTTCTTTCACTGGTCATCTTTATTTTACTCATAGGAAGAAATCACAATTCTTCCAGTTTGCAAACAGCTTGCAGAATTTGTCAGGCATGTGAGGATCTTTCAAAAAAAGACTATGGCACTTGATAATGCCACTGCAGCAACAGAAGCTAAAGGCTTCTGTACAGGAAAACTTCAGAGAAAATATATCCCTGTTACAGAAAGATGATTATCCATTGCTAAACTTTATATATTTATTGACTATAATCACTTTAGCTTTTTGCATTTGCCTGTAATTCTGGAAGACTTGTGTATTACACTCTGGTACTTACTGCTGTTTTATAATGAGGTTTGCAAGCACTGGAAACCGGACAGATTTTTTTTAAGCTGCCAGCTAAGGAAGTTTTCAACCTATTACACAATAAATTGAATAACAACTACAATGATTTAAGGTATTGGGACTCCAGCAGAACTATTGGTTTATTTCATAAGGAAAAATACACCAGGAAATAAAGCCATAACTTAATACATGTAAGTCAAATTAACTAATTTAGGTAAATAAATAGGTTTTAAAAGGGAAGTTATTAAATTATATATAAGTATACATTAGAGAAGGGAGCAGGATACAAGGCTTTGGATGCTTCTTTGAATACTATTCCAGAAATGTCTTAATACAGAGCTTCAGATTCTAAAATATAATCTTGCCAAGTAATTATATCCACATATGAGAATAAATTGTTGGGGATTCTGACTTGGCTTTTGGAGGTATCAGTAGCTCCTAACAAAACAAATATCTGAAACTGAGAGCTTTATTAAAATAAGATGAAACTACCCAGCACAGAGCATTCTAAAGTTAATGTTCAGCTTTGTTTTAAATAAAGGAAACCCTAAACTATGAACAATCTTGCATTCTAGTCTCAAAGTCGTTATACCTCTTTTGCCCCCTCAGCTTGCTTTTAACACTCCTTCCTCAAAGTCATTAATAAACACATCATTTACAGGCAGAAACGTATTATTCTAATCAATTTCTACTCATTTTAGTGGCTGTGTATAAGCAGATTATTTTTTCCAGACGACTCGTGCTCCAGAGGAGTACAAAGGACACACTTCAGACCCTTGTAGTCCCAACATGTGTGGTTTCCTCACGCTGGGAAAGCCTGGAAGCGAGCCGCCTGGCCCGGAGCCAACCCAAACTAGGGTCAGTCTAAACACAGCACCGGCAAATGCTACTTTCTGACACTTCCCTGCTACTGTAGAGAATCCTCCAGCATCCTCCTCAGCACTGAGATTTACACACAGCTCCTCACGCTACTTCCTTCATCTCATCCCTTCCCTCCACTGAGAAGATTCAACTAGCCAAGAGCAGTGGAATTAAAGAGAAACACTTGTGTGACATTGCCTCGTGTTTCCTGGGTGTTTATGCAAGAAGATACATTTATAAAGTTGCTGAATGCCCAGGGAGGCCTTGGAAATCATCACACCAGGATGCTCTGCAAGGCTTCTCAAGTCAGTTCTTCCCACTTAGATAAATTTTGCCTTGTGTGTTTTTTTCTGAGAAGTTAAATATTATCTGAATAGTTAAACTGTTATTAGTTTACCACTAAAAAAAGTAGAAGTATTTGAACCTGCACACATATTTAGTCTAGATATGCAAGTGGTTAGGAATTTTATTCCCTCCTTTCAGGTTACCACAGATATGTAAGCATACATTCTCTATTCATCTTAGGAAATGCAAATTTTCCTTCCAAATACAGAGTCTTTTCTCTGTAACATCTATACCACTGTCCGACTGCAGGTTAGCTCTCCTGGCTCTGTGTTCTGCTCTTCCTGGAAGGCACAAGGTCCATAATGATCAGTGGGGGCTTGGCCAAAGGCAAAATGTCACCAGCTGGGACTGAGGGGTGGCTCACGCAGGGGGCTGCCACCTCCAGCAAGGTCTGGGCTCATAAAGCCCCACTGAACATAATGGGAAGTGACAGCACTCAGCATCTCTCAGGAGGCAAGCAGCATCCCACAGAAACAAAAGCCTGCTTTTCACACAAACAAAACTTGTTTTCTACAGAAAGCCTACACCAAAAATCAATTTGTACTCTGAAAATTTGCAATTATAATTAGCAGTGCTGTTATTAATGCAATATCCTGAGGGAGGTGTGGATTTTGAGTCAGTTACTGAGATGACAGAAGCAAGTTAAGTGCTTGATAAAGCATCCCAAGAAGAAATTTTCTGAAATACTCAGAATCTGAGTTGTACAAAAACTGGCATGTGCAGCATTGCTGAAGTCAAGATAGGGAACAAGATATTCTGCCTGGTACTGTATCTCTTCTATACAATGGCAGCAAGTGTTGCTCTCAAACATGTGAGCAAAATAGTATCTTGTTCCACCTGTTCAGTCCCTGCCTGCAATCCTATTAATTCAGGGTCAGTTACCGCTTCAGAGCTGGCAGCAGAACCCAGTAATTTAAAACCCCCCTCTGGTGCCTAAAGAAAATACCAAACACAGCTGAGAATTCAAATTTTCTTCATATCTGGAAGAAGAAGGAAACCAGTTTTCATGTGTTCCTGTGCAAGCATCTGGTTTTCACTCATAGCAGTCAACTGTGCTTACAAAAGCTCCAGTTCACCATGTCTGATAGAAATATTGAAGGCTAAATTGTCATGTCATTATCTCAATTTAACACATTGTCACTGGGCACAGGCAAGGGATTACAGCAGATCCCAGAGGAAGCTTTTCCTATCACTAGTAATTCCAGATATTAACAGAAATGCTAAAATTGCCACTTACATTTTACTATGATTTAAAACATCCAAATTGCTTCTGCTCTGTTCAGTATTACAGTAAAGCAATCCCAGTGATGCCAGGGAGCAATGAAAGAGCTGTCTTCAGTTATTTCCTTCCAAATGCTTTTAAATGAAGAGGGTAACCATGACCAGAGGAGTTGAGAGGTGAACACTCTGAGCTACATTTTTCCTGTTTGCTGATATTTTGATGCTATTTTCATGCACTGCAGAGCTCTTCCACATAGCTAATCTCTTGCAGGTCATCAGTCACACAGGAGATCACATAGCATGAGAAATTCAATTGATTAAAGACAATATGTATAACTGTGGGAGATGAGATTATCAAATCTTGGTAAATTGCATTGCACAACGAATCTGCAGTTACCCAGTGAAGAAATAAATAAATAAAAACACAAACCCAAACAAACAAAAAAGGAATTTAACAAAATTTAACTTAGGAGGTAAACTCCATGGAAAGCACACTGACCTTTTTTACATTTTTGTTTACATCAATCAAGTTGAGCAGGAAGATGTGGTCCTTTGTCCCGACTAGCAGCCGGCCCCTCTCCTCATCTAGCAGCAGGGTTCGAAAATCAAGCCCCTCTGCTGAGCCCAGGAATGGGATGCAGCTGTTTGAAAGCAGCAAGTCTGTGGGAAAACAAAGAAAATCTTTATAATCAAAATGTTTATATATGACTCATCAGTGTCTTTTGTAAATATATGCAACCAGCATGGAGTATACCAGTGAGATAAGTGCAGTCTTGGAGCATGTCTTTCCAAAGCCATAATACAGTTCCTGTTAACTTTGGGGTTCTCTGGGGGGGTTTATATTTCCAAATTGGGTAATAGTTACTTTCACAAAATATTTTTCTAGGTAAAACTTTCTGAATAAATTATCTGTATGGCATAGAAGAATCAGAAATTAAACATAAATTAGAAACCACAGAACACAGATCTTTGCAAAATCTAATTTTATTCTAATTCTATTCTAATTTAATTTCTAATTTTGTTATATCTTTCCTTCATTCTAAGAAAACTAATTATGTTTATATTACCATACTCATGCATACACATTCTCGAGGATCAATACCTCACCATATTTGGTGCTCCAAATATAAAGCAGCAAAGAAGGTGAATGCCAGCCAAGAATAATTAGGAGCAAGAAATAGTGGGCAGGAACATTTGAAGATCATCCAGTTCACCTCCCTCAGTATGAGGAGAAAAATCTTTCACTAGATCAGCTTGGTCAAAGCCCCACCTAACATGGTCATGAACACTTCCAGGGATGGGGCATCCACAACTTCTCTGGGCAACCTGTGCCAGTTTCTCACCACTCCCATAATAGAAAACATCTTTCTTATATCCAGTTTCTATCTACTCTCTTCCAGGTTTAAAATTACTCCCCCTTGTCCTGTCATTAAAGGCTTTGGTAAAAAGTCCTTGCTTGTCTTTTTTACAAGCCCCCTTATACACTGAAAAGCTACAATAAGGTCTCCTCAGAGCCATCCTGACTCCTGGTGGAACAACCCCAAACCTCTCAGCCTGTCCTTAAATGGAAGGTGTTACAGCCCTCTGACCATGACCATGGCTCTTCTCAAGATTCATTCCAAGGTTCATGGCTTCCTTAAACTGAGTGTCTGAGAACTGAATGCAGGACTGCAGGTGAGGTCTCACCAGAGCAGACTGCAGAGGCAGAATCCCCTCCCTCTACCTGTTGAACACATTTCTTGTGGAACAGCACAGGCTACAACTGGATTTGCCGGCTGTGAGCACACACTGCTGGCTCAAATCCTTTTTTTTTTCATTTACCAGTATGCCCAAGTCCTTCTCTGCAGGGCTGCACTCAACCTATTCATCACACAATCTATCTATCCACCATCCAGTCTGTGTTGATATCAAGGATTGCCCTGACCCACGTAAAGAATCTTCTACTTGGTCTTGTTGAACTTCACATGGCTTACACAGGCCTCCTTCTCCAGCCAATCAAGGGATCCTTAAAGATAATTTATTCCAATTCAGTGAGGATGGTAGAGTAAGGGGAATATCCAGTAGCAACACCTCTAAGAACCTATTAAAATCAAAAATTTGACAATAAAGTTTTACTGTGAATTAACAGTAGCTTCAAATCTCTTTAAAAACGTAATTAGGAAAAAAATGCTCTGTGAAACTAATGAAAGAATCTATAAAGCTGCAAAAAAGCTAAAGGACTGTAAAATAAAAATTCTGTAACATTCTGCCTAATGAATACTCTGGATGTAATTCTGGATGAGGACACAAACAACATATAGAAAAGAGCACAAGGATAGTTAAGTCTTGTTTGGTAGTCATTACTTTGGGGAAAAGAAAATAAACATGTGAATCAGTTCTTCCACAAGCAAACTCTCCAAACTAAACTATTTGGAAATCATCACACAGAAAGGCAAATCCTGTATTTAACTGAGTACAAAATTAGGGTTATTTCCACCTTCCTGGAACTGGATGGACAATGTAGCATTCCTGCTAGAAAAGCCAGACTTACTGCAAAAGTCATTTGCACATCCTGATCATGAAGAAAATTAGGGCCAGTGTTTTGGAGAAAAAGTCCTGAATGAAATAAAAGGAAAAAAACCCGACCCAAATATTTTTCTCCAAGGTCTCTCACAAACCATATGACAGGCAAAAAAATATTAAGTTCTGGTGCCAGCTCATAAACAGCACTCTGGGAGAAAAAATATTTTATCATTACTAATCTGACTAACTGGAATATAATTAAGACAATTATTTTTTGGCTCAGTCACTACTATTTATGTGTGTTTGTCTGGTTCAGTGCAGGGTGTTTTTAAGGTACAATCTGAAAACAAATTGCTGTGTATTGCCACTCCTATTCCACTAGGTGAGATTTATTTGGCAGCTCTTTGGAAAAAAAATCCTGCTTCACATTGAAAAATTATATCCAATGCTGGGCATTACACTGCTATACATCAGCACTGTCCTTTCTCTCACATTTTCTGTGAAGACAAAGATGTCAGGGTTTTTCTAAACTAGTCACACTTTAAAAGATCTGTTTATTAACTGCCACCAAGATCACTTAGGAACAGCTCATGGTTAACATGGTACTATAAAAACCTCAGTCCTCACCTGCAGGACACAAGTAACGAACATACAGAATATCAGGGAAAATTCCTTCCCATCTGCAGCCACAGGAATTTGATCTAAGGAATTATCAATTATATGCTTATATATGCAAATTAAAGCATGGGCCTTTGCAAAAGTGTCAATTGCAAAAATATATGGATTTGATTCTCCACATACACGAAGGATGATGACTGAGACTCCTCTCTTCTTCCCATTTCCTTCTTATTTGAAAGGAATGATCTCTGAAGAAACCATTCCAAATGGCTATTTCTCATCTGTTCTAGAATTTCAGTAGTTTTAGAATTTCTCAGTAAAAAAACCTCCACCTAGAAGAGCTACAACATTGAGGGGAAAATGCTGCCTCACGACTGAAAGGCCCAAGTGGGAACGAGCCCTGTCTGATGCCTTGTACTATCATTTATTTCATTACATCATAAGGAAAACATCCGTAGAATATTCCAGATTGAAATGACAACACTGCACACTCCTTTCTTACTGACGCAGATGACAGCACAAGCCACAAAGCAATGAAGAATCAGGTTTGGCCAGTCATTTACTACTGAAAACAGCTTGGAAGTAAGACTCTGAGCATGACCATTGATAAGATTATAACTGTAACATGACCTAATAAAACTTCACAAGTAAACATTAACAGAGGATTGATTAAATTGCAGCCGAATTAATCACTGTTCTCACTCCATAAAACAACACAATCCAATCTTATGCGTTGAAATTTCCCTTCACAGTGAGACATATTTACTATCACCAAGGACATTACACTGGAAAAATTTACTGTGAAAAGCACACTTCTCCATGATTTTGAAGCTTAGAGCAAGCTGTCAATTTGAATCACTGCATCTCTGTAGCCTGGCTAACACAGAAATAGCATTCTCACAAGGCACAGTAACAAAGTTAGTTACAGGGATGGTCTTTCATGACTACATGTTCAGCACTCGGTTTTTCACAGTCTCTATTTGCTGTCTTCCTCAAAATTAAATAGTTTTTTCCAGCTTGGTGATTTAGAAAGCATCCAGCTAACTCCCTTCTGGGCTAATATTTTACTGCTGAGTGGTAGAAGCTGGAATAGTGACTGGGTTTTATCCATTTAGCACAGTATCTCAGTGGACTTGGCTTACAACAGCATGATCATTGATTACTTAAAAAAAACTCTTAAAAAATCTCCAGCAGCAGAGCCGCAGCAAAAAGGCTTTGAAAGTAAAAATGTCATTCTGTTCTGATAATATGTATTTGCATTTATAAAACATATTTAGTCTTCTTAGCATCAAGTCACATCTGTGGTGACGAAGCTACCACTCCTCAAATTCCAGCACAGTGTAAGTATGCAGCAATGTGGAGCCAACTTGGTTGAGACTCAGAATTCCCTTTGTGACCAGTTACACAATTTTTTAATGACAAACCACACCAGAATTAGCAGAAAGGGAACATCTCAACCTCTTTCAAAACAGTTACACCTAATGACACCTTTGAAGGCCTCTGAAATTAAAGGCTGTATAATTTTCATATATACCACAAAACAGAGGTCACCTTACTTTCCTTTATGCAGGAGCAAGTCCTTTCTCATGCTGGAGAGTACCAAATTTACATGGAAATTGTAGAAATTCTCAACCAAACTTTTGAGATATTTATAGCACGACTGCAGCAATTTATCCAATTCCCAAGGAATTCTAAGTTTAAAATTGACCAGTTGACCCCAGATGTATTGGTACAAAGGCAAAGAGAATAAATACTTCAAAACTACTAAGGAATTCTAAATTTAAAATTTACCAGCTGACCCCAGATGTATTGGTACAAAGGCAAAGAGAATAAATACTTCCAAACTACTACAAATTTCTACTATGTACTGCAAGAAGTAAATTATGTTTTGTCCAGCTGCATCTCATCAAGGATAAAGCTGCACATGCGAAGTGCCTCTCATTGCTACACTGTATTATATAGGCCTGGTGGAAAAGGTTATATTCGTAGACAAGCAGAGCCACTCCAAAAGGACACAGATAACCGTGAATATAGAAAACATGATTTTCTGCTGTCACAATTTTGTGTGAAAACACGGGTCATGAGAAGACAAAAAAAGATGTATTAAATCACATGTTTTGCAGTTAGAGACTTCTCTGTCTTCATGCCTTAGGACTGAATTGCTCCCCAGGAGGGTATAAAAGTGATGGTGTAAAGAAAACTTTTCCAAAGATTCCTAAAAACTTCTGCTGCAAAATTTCAGGTGTTTCAGGGCATGATCACTTCAATATTCTAGCATTTCTATGGGAATGCTCGAGAGACCGCATACTTAATATATACAACATCCCTGTTTGCAAAAACTATTTCTTTCATATAAGCATAGAGGAAGGACATTCTCTAAGATACAGAGAGTTAAAGACAAAGAATGACGCATTTCAGGCAATTTTCGAAATTCATCACTTTTTATTAATTTTTCAAACATACATCTCCAAATATTATTCAAAAGGAGACATGGCACTATAGAACTGCAATTCAGTTCTCTAAACTAAGGGTAACGCGGC